ATAACCATAAAGTACGCGGAATTACTTTTTTTCTCTCTCAATAATTACAATCAATCATCAAACTGCATTTTACCTAAATGAAGCTGATCAAGTTTCAAGAGTTGTTGTAAATACCTTAACTGGAGTTTAATTATTCAATCACTGCAATTTTTTCCTTTTTCATTTCTATTTTGTTGACGATCGTTTTTCATCATCAACAGTTATATTGAAAATTATAAAAATAAAAAAGCTTTCATCAACAATTGTGTTAAAAACAATTTTAAAAAGCTTTAAATTATTTAAATTCAGGTAATATTTGTGCTGATATTTGTAAAAAAAAAAGGAATGTTATTTTGATTAGTAAAATTGCAATTTAATCTAATAATTAACATTTAGTTTGGTAGACAGTCGAGATAAATTCATTCCCTTTTTAATCCAATCATTTTTATGTGAACAGAATATACCTGGAGGTAATACTGAAAGTTCAATTATCAATTCTTTCGCATGTTTCACTAGTTTTTTTTTTTTAAATTTCCAACAGTGAAAACTTTGAAACATAGCAAACTCTAAATTAAATATTATTTTTAACAAGTTTTTAAATAATATCATTAAACCGACTCCAAATAGTATTATATGAAATTCAATTAAGGGTTAAAAAACAGTATTTTAATAAAGAAAAGTTTTCCTTAAAGTAAGGGTCACGTAGTGATAAGAGTTAGGTGTGAGAGAAGAAATAGTTGGATCCTAAACCTAAAAAAATAGATAAAATAAACTGTAGCGTCGGAAGACTTTATTTTTATAGCGATTTGGTCGATGAGACTTAGATAGTAGCAACATTGAGTTTAATCTAGCTGAAGATCAAATTATAGTCTGGTGAAATTTTCTCAGCTTCCCAAATTGGTTATTCAACAATTACTAATTTTCAACAGAACGACTAGTAGCAGGAGCATCAGTCTAAGAAAAAATAGTAGAGAAATAAAGCAAAGTAAAATATATTGATACGATTTCTAGACTAACGCCTTGTACATTCTACAAAAGGATAACGATTATCGATAAAACTTTCATGGTAAAAGAGAGTAATCTGATTGAATAAACGCTGAAAAGCATTGCACCTGCTTCACCGGACATGACAAGCAAATTCTTCAGTCTCAAAGGGAACATGCCGGGTATAGTGTAGAGAGAAGCGAGAAGGATGAAGAGTACAAGAGCAAAGAGAGAAGAAGGGTGAGATGGTACGGACCGGCCCCTGAGGCGAGAAAGGGTAGAATTGAGACAAAGGGTACTACGAGAACAATGGTATGTAATCTCAGGTCCTTGAAATAGCCCTGTCCTGCGTGGAATAGCCTGTAGCTCCAAGCCATACCAGGTTGAGAGACACTCGGGCATGGCCTACGAATTGCGAGTGTCTACAATCGTGTATTCCTTTCTCTCCACCAAGCCTCATTTATGTTTCTCTTTATGAATTTTCTATAAATTTATGCTAATAGTGTGCCCATTATTTATTCAGTACGTTTTTTTTTCTCCCAAAAGCATACTCTCTGCTACTTTGTCTGCATTTCTATACCCAGATATCAATATTACACCAAGTTTAACAAAAAAATGTATAGACTCATACATACCTTACATTGTCTTCTATAACTTTGTCTTTGTAACTCTATCTAAAGAATTCTTTAAGCTTTTTTTAACTCTCGTAACGGATAAGAACTTGCGCGGATTACCATCTCACTGTGCTTCTCGTTAATATTTATTAGATGCCTCGTACAGCCACAGTACTGTACTCTGACAGAGAAAGAGAGTACAAGAAATAGAAAAAAAATAGAGGAAAAGAAGCATGCTGTTTAAAAACTTCCACCCTCTGATTTTGCGAGGTCTTCCTCAGTATGAACGCGTAGTTAACTATAGAAACTGGAGAATGAATGTAAAATAAAGAGGAAAATTTTAAATGCAAGGCAAAGTAAAAACTAAAAAGTTGTAATTACATTTTTTTATTTGAAATGTATATTTTTATTCAAGCTTTATTTTTATTTATTTTTACTTATATTTACTTTTTTTTCATCTTTCTTCATCTTATTTCTCAGAGTATTGTTGTTCCCCAATCGTGTCGTTAATTGAAATTACAACTAATTATTTCTATCAAAAACCCTCTAGTTATGTTTATCAACCCTTAATAAAACATTTGCAATGTTTTAATTTATTATTAATTTAATTGAAGAAAAAGAACAGTAATTTTCTTATTCACTTGTAATGAAAAAGAAACATCACTATTTTACTGATGGCTGAATCACCAAAAGGACTAAAAACTAAACATGATTGTATTTAGAGGATAAAAAATAGTATATTTTCAGGATTTTTTTCTGTTTAAAAAAAAAAGCAGTAGAAAATGAAGAGCAGAATAAAAAGAATCTATCTATTTTTCAACTGGATACGAAAACTTTAAAACTCAACTGATTTTCAAAAACGATACAGAGTTTTTTTCAGTGTTAAAAGGATTTAAGTTTCGAAAAAAATGTACCTACAGATTTAAGTTAAAAATATAAAGTTTTTTATTTGTAGTAACTTGTGATGTTGAATGTTAGACATTGTAAGTTGATACTAAAATTTTGTTTAACAGAATAATTTCATTTTATTTATATTAATATGAGTCATAGAATGTTTTATGAAAATCAACAGAGAATTTAATTCAATAAAAAGTAAATCTTTGAGGTAACTATTTTAATATTTTTACATTCAATTTTTTTCGTTTTATTTAAATATTCAATAATTAAATACTTTGAATGGATAGATAATAAAAATTACAACTCAACTATTTGAGTAGAAAATATATTTAATAATGAAAATATAGAAACAGAATATTTATCGTTAAAATTGAAATGAATTTTTTTATTTATTAAATAATATAAAATATTAATATTAATATAAAAACTATGGGTACTTGAAATTTGTGATACAGAAAGGAATGTATTTCAATCCTTCTCTTGAAATATTTACAGTATGTTAAACATCTTACATCCTAATTAATTAATCTACTCCATATTTGTTTCACGTTTATGTTCAAAGTCTTGTTCCAATTAGAATATAAAATAATTTTATTCTTAAATGACTCATGAAAGTAAATAGTTAACCAGAATAATTGTATGATCAGAATAAATTAAAACAGCTAAAACACCAATAAAAAGCAACAAAAAAAGAAAAAACAAACAAAACACTAATTACGTTTCTCTAATCAGAAATATAAATTGAACCATTATTTGGCTGTTGATGTATTTATTTATTAATATAAATTTCTTCAAACCTGGCTTTAGAGCTCAATTGCGTAGTTGTAATGCTTCGTGGTAATAGTTGTCGTGAATGTCTTACTAGAAAAAGAAAATCTTAAAATGATATTTATGTTCGTATCTTGCGCCGTTTGGCAGTAGCCAAGTCTTGCGAAATTGAAATGCAAATCGTGGATTCAAGATGCAAATCTCATTGCACGAACTAACGCCAGCTAGCTCAGTCGAACTGTAAGTAAAGAGGAGCAGTGAGATGAGTAAAAAAAAAAAAAAACAAATGATACAAAAAGATAAAGTTAACTAAATACATAGTAGCAAAGATGTAACGAAACCCTGTATGATTTCTCTATAAAGTGTATGTGCTTTTAATAATTCAAAAATTATTACTCTAAAAGCAAATAACAAAATAAAAATGTTCAACATATGGCTAAATTACATATCTATCAACGTATCTTCGTTCAAAGAGTACGAAACAGAATGAAGTGCAACAAAAAATTGATTGCAATTCAACTCTATTCTCCCTACGAATCTCAAATAAAAGTAGTGCATTTCGAACATAACGAGCCAGTTCACTTCGCCCATATTCGCTATAAAAATTCGCTCCAAGCGCTCGTCATAAACGATCCCATGTTTTTTTCTTTTTTTAATTCCGTTACTGCGTGTTCTCCCTCTGCATCATTTTTTCAACGACTCATGGACACACAGAAAATCGCGAAATTACCAAGAACATCCGCTACATCACGTTCTTCAATAATACACAGACCCCATCAACACATGTGCGAGAGACCTCAATGCTAATACCAATACTTACAATTGAGTAATATTCAACACCAACACACACTTACAAAATGTTGTGTATATATCTCAACCACCTGACTACATATGCCATTTTCCACTTTCACCAAAATGTCCTCTTTTTCTCGCCCCTTTTTTACCTCATTTTTTGTCAACATCTTTTTTGTGGTTCATCAAAAATTCAACTACTGGCAGTAAATCAATCAATTATCAGTCGTCAATGCTTTTAAGTAGTGCGAGTCAATAATAGGTTGATCCATCATTAAATTTCAATGATTAAAAATATTAATAAATTCTAGATATCAATGATAAATGATGTTGGTGGAGGAGGAAAATTTTTTCCACTGTTAAGGTAATATTTTTTAGTAAAGCAACGTATAATTAATCACCCCTTGAAAAAATGGCGAATATTAACGCCGAAGCTAGACACAAAAAATTCTTGTATGAGTCTTTTTGGTCTGGTAACACATGGTTTTCTTATAATCCAAGTGTAATATAATGTATAAAGATATATACTATCACTATGATAACGCAGGGTATTCATAATCAATCTTTAATTGATTGAACACCGGGAATTACTCATTTCCGTAATTCTATCAGATTTGAAATTCCTACTATTACATCGTCAATGTAATATACAATGAAATATTCGATATAAAATTTTAGATCAATTTTTTTTTTGTGGCGCTAGAGCATATGTGAAGCAATACAGAAATTTCAGGGGTTGAAAAAATTCCAGTATATATCTGAAGTGTCTGGCTACATATGGGTTTTTTCACTAGGTCGTAATATTTTCTTTTCTCTGTCATTTTTTTTAATATTTTTTCTATTAACGTATCTATTTTCTACATTTATTCTTCTTCTTGTGCTCAGTAATTGGATTACCTCGCGATTCCATACTTTCATCGTAATTATTTTTCAAGAAACATCTAGAAAAAGAGGAAAATAAATTACCTTATTTGGAGTTATGACTTGTAGTAACTGTTGTGATTGCTCTTGCTCACGGCCCTGTTGTTGCTGCTGCTGTTGTGGTTGTTTTTGTTGGTGTTCTTTTTGTTGCTCCTTTGGCGTTGGTTGTTCCACTAGTTGTGGTGAGCAGCTGATATTGTCAGCGGTTGGCTGGTTCGTTGTGGTTGTGTTGCTTCTATTTCGGTCAAAATGATTAAGATGACTCAGGGTGTTCAGGTGTGATAGTTGCTGCTGAACTGAGTTTAAAACAGACGTCCTGTCCGAAGATTGATGGTGTGTCTGATGGGTTGAATGGGATGCTTGAAGCGTCACCGGAAAGGTGGGCACCGTAAACGGGACGAATAGCATTGGGCTGCCAAGGATGTGCGCACCACCTCCAGCCACTGCGCCCGTCTCCTCCCTACACCTTTTGACGTATTTTTTGTTTTTCTGTTTTGATCCTCACATTTAGTTCTCTTTTTTTTGTATTAAATTAATGAAAGAGAAAACTTATAATCTCCCGCTAATTACTTAAACTTTTATTTGATTCATACACGTGAAAAAAAGTCGTGAGAAACTTTTCAAGTAAAGAAAGAAATAATTGTGAGAAGAAAAAAATTGATTGAGTTAAAGACTTCCTTTCAGTCATAATTAGATATAAGTATTCACATATTTTAACTTGATTTTATTAGCTGGTTTTTGATTATTTCATTTTAAAGTAAAGATTGATTATTCTAAGCATTGAGTTTATTTATTGAATAAATATTGACAATATTAGTTCAAAACTTTCTAAACAAAATTAATTAAAAATGATGAATTAAATTTTCCATTTACCAATTCATGATATAATTTATGTAAAGACTAATTGACTTTAATTCAATGTCTCTTATATTCTCTGAGATATTCAATGCATTTAACAATCGAACTTTTTTCTTTAAATTGTAATTATTTTTTGAACCAAGTTACAATAAAAATGAAGGATATTTAAATAATTTTAATAAATTAAATCAAAAAACAAAAGAAAAATCAGCTTCAACAAATGTTTCTAATTGACAACAGTCAATGAAAATAATGAAAAATGTTAAAAGTCATTATTCGAAAAAAAAAACCAGCCAAACAATCAACAAAAAGTGAAAAACAAATACGAATAATGTAATTATGGTATGGGGAATGTTACCTGCACTCTTGTCCCAACGTTTGATGATGAGGATAGGCGTAGGGGGTCGCACGGACGGAGGTGATAGACGCCACCCTCGCAACCCTTAACGATAAACCAGCAGACCGCTGATTGGGGAGATGAACTGGATCTGCGGGTTGATTGTTGTGTTGGCAACAGCAGGTACGACAGCCGTGATGTTGACTGGGGACGTTTGGCAATAGATGTGAGTTGGGGCCCCTGGGTCCCGTGGAGGACGAGCACGGGTATACCCCAACGAGGCAACCCACCACCGCAGCCCCGGGGCCCGATGCGCTTCGAGCCAAAGCGCTCGATGCCGAGGCCACCCCACACTAGTGTGTTAATTCGAAGTACCACCAATTCGATCGATATTTGTAATTATTTTAAATAATTTATCAAAGGCCAATCGATTAAAGTGACGTATCACGAGAGAGATTCTGTTGATCTCTTGAGAGAACTCGATTACCGCCGGCCGCGATTTCGATGCTTCCTCGCTTTATCTTTGTTTATTATCTATTTCAATCCTATTTGCATTTAATAAAACAGATAGATTGTCATGAAACCACTTTAATTAATATTATTTTTAATTACACGTTTAATTTATTTTAATTGCTGCAACACGAAATACTATATTAACTGCAAAGCTCATTATTATTATTATTATTATTATATTGTTTTTATTATTATAATGATGATTATTTTTATAGTTCGTTTAGATTACCACTTACACACACCATTGAAATTTTATCGCAAAGTTTTACATGCGGCTAAACCATACGTCAAACCACTGTAATTTTTATTCCACGTGGCTGAAAAGATAAGGATTATTTTGTTGTAAATGGAATAGTGGATATAAAATAAATAAATTAGCAAAGATAAATAAACAAGAGAGAAGCAAGAAAATATGTCAAAGTCGCAAACAACATTAAGTCAAGACTCAACAAGTACACGTGAAAAGCACTTGCCTATGAGTCTGATCAAACATCAGTTGTTCCACTTGTGTTAGTAGTAGCTACTTATTTTGTAATCAGACCATAATTCTAATCCTCCTTCCCTTCTTTTTCCCCCTTTTTTCTCAGATACTTTTTTCTTTCTGAAACTAAGGCATTTATTTTTCCTCCCTCTTTGCAAATAAATAATGCGATAGAAGTACACTTGTATCGAATTAAAAAGTTTTCACTTTATATTGCGAATGAGAATAAGACAAAAAATAAAATATGGGATAAAACTGATACAGATGTAAAAGTGAAGGAATTGATCAAGTTAATTAATTGGTTTGAAAAATAATAATGATGGTTAAAAAGTGTAAGAAAAGCCCCGTGGTATTCTCAGTATGACAGTGGTGTTTTAAACAGTGTGGAGAATACACAAGGCCGAAGAAGAAGCTAACCCGTGATGTCGGAAGGTCGCTCGCCGACTGACTAGTACTTCCGCTTTGGCTGTTGTACAATTCAGGGTGGGGGATACCTCGTTGAGTTGTTGTGTGTAGGAGCGGTTGGTGCGGCGGCGGCGGCGACGACGACGACGGCGACGGCAGCAGCAGCAACGTTAGCTCGATTCAACTCAGATCCTCTCAATTGGTCCGCTTGTTGGTGTATTGTACTAAGCATGCTGCACGCGGGAAACTTAAGGATGCAAGAATCATCACGAGAATCTTGTAACTCTAATTGAGAAATTTCAAAACAGAGTTTAGACGTATTATATGAATATATCCAATTATTTCTCATAATGGATATTGTCAGACACAGCTTGCCATTTGTTACTATGATTTATTACTCTTTATTACTCTTTAGTTCTGTATTTTCCACTAGCTCGATATCGTACTGATGCCAACTAATCACCCCCATAAAATATTTACATTCTTGAAATAAAATATTCAATCAGTGAAACTCGTTAAATGCATCCGAGCTTTCTGAAATATTTTGTCAAAACACTCAATAAATGTTGATTAATTTTTCATCGGCGCTTTAAATTAACAGCGATTGAGCACTATATAGATCAGTAGAGAGCGATCTATGAAACCGACCGTAGTGCAACGTCGACTGTTGAACGTGAAGATGAGAAAGCTCGTGTGTATCGCGGTGTTTCGCGGAGACCAAGTTTGCAAGTGGTAGTGTAAAGATGGTGGTACAACGTGAAACGAAGTGAGGGGTAGGACATGGTAGGGATGAGCCCTCCGTTCGTTGATTCGTTCGTTCTTTCACCCAGACTTTATAGTTATACATATATTAAACAGTGACAGAAGAAAGATAAAAGTGGTGTTAGAAATAGACACAACTATTGTAAAAGTATTTCATTATATGTTATCAGATGCAGAGCAAGGAAAATTTCTAAAGTTTCCAAAGTACGTGCAAAAAGCAGCTACGTCAACTATGACAGACCTCACTTGATATTCCTAGAGGGGTAAAGTCATAAGGAATTTCGTCTGAACTCACATGACACAAGTCTCGTGCTGTCTATCTATATTATACTTAGCTTTTAGTGGTGGTAGTATCAGCACTATATGATCAGACTTTCTAGCGCTTGCGCATCCTGTATATGTATATAGTATATAGGTATAGATAAAATAACAGACCCCTAGAGAGCGACAGCCGACGGATCTGACGACAAAGCATACTCCCGGCGGAATGCCAGATATTTTTGTGAAATCCATAAAACCGAAATTCCTACCTAAATATTGCCGAATAAAAAAAGACCTTTGTAACCCTCTAAGTAGCCATTTTTATATCATTTGATCCAATGCAATTATTCGAATCACCATTTTAATTAAAACCAACATACACTCTTGTATTACATTCAATCGATTCGAATTCTTTTCACTGATTTAAATTATTATTATTATTATGAATTCATTTGAATATTTTGTAAAACTTTTTTCTTTTTCAAAAAATTTTAAAAGCTCTAAAAATGTCATTCTTCAAACATTTATATTGTGTTTTATTTATATTTAGTTTTTCGATACACATCCATTTAAATTCAAAAAAAATTGTTAATTTTTATTCAAGAAAATAAAATATTTCAGATGAAAATCAAATAATACAGTTGTTAGATTGCAACAATGCTAAATTTATTTCACTCACTTAAATAATAAATGAGTTTAATGTCAGTAATTATCTATTATTCGCGAAATTAGCATTTAATAGTTGACAAGAAAATAGTTGTCGTCGTGTAAAAAATGTCTTTTATCGAGAAAGTATTATAAGCTGGTATATATATATAATAATCGAATGGAATCCGATAATTTGAAAATAAAAATAAAATATGAAAATGGTTGAAAAGAATAATATAATGCATGTTCCATATGTTGTCGAAAACTCGTAAAATTATCGTGAGAATTGTCTCAACCAAAATAGGATTCTATGTTGAAAGAAAAAAAAGGTCAAATGGCAAACTGCGACAATACAGGATAAACGGAACCATATCGCGTATAGTTTTGTGCTGTGATACGATTCTCTGCTTCTGATAGTCTGGACGATGGAGCGACGAGGTGTAGGAACTCTCCTCCTACTGGTATATTTATAATGACCCTATATGTATGCAAATGGTTGCATATCGTACAAACCTATCCCATTTATACGTGCGTACGACAGAAAGCTCAAATGATGAGAATACGCATGAATGATATTGCGTACACAATAAATAATGATTGCCAATCAATTGACGAATTACACAAATTTATTAATTGCACATTTGTCTACTATTCATTGATATTAATAATTAATCACATAAGTGAAGAATTATTGTCTCATTATTTATTTCAATTAGATTCGAGAATATAATACATATATTTCGATTAATCGTGCAAATAGCTTCAAATAGATATGGATTTTTTGTGATTGTTATCTATTCAAAGGTTTTATCTTGTTCTACAACCTATGCCGATTAACTAAAAATGATTTTAATTCTAAAACAATCTTTAAATTGAGTTATATTTAATAAAACTTTGAGTTATAAATCAATAAATGAACGATAATTGTAAGTAAAATGTTTTAAACAGATTGAATTATTTTTTAATAGCAAAATAAATTGTTATTTAAATACAATTTTAAGCTCCTCGTATAAAAGAATTTCGTTCCCCGGAAGTTTCCCAGTGAGGAAGTTCCCCGACGTTCCCCTCGTAGGACTATGGGGAACGTTTGGGGAGCAAAATTCAATTTTTTCTCTCTAGTCTAAACGTACTTTAACCGTTTTTTAATTGCAAAAACCAATATACATAATGAAATTCATGAAATAGTGATATATTGGGGAAAAACTGAGAGATATAAAAATAAGCATAACTTCTATGCTAATAATGCTACAAGGGTGATTGAGGGCTCAAATGAAAGATCTTGACGAAAGGAAAAAGATCAACATAGTTGAAATCATAATTGTTGCGAAAATCATGCAAAAATTGAAGCAAGTTCCGGTTTTACCCCATTTTTGGAGTGAAAAAATTATTTTTCTGTATGTTTGACCCGATTCCGCATTTCTACGCATCAAGACGAAGAGAATGAGTGGTCGATCATCAAAATCGGACAACTTTGATTTTTCGACCCAAAAAAATGGCAAGTGGTACCCCTTTCCATCTTTTTTGGCGAAAAAATAAAAGTACTCCGATTTTCAAGTTTGACCACTCATTCTCTTCGTCTTGATGCGTAGAAATGCGGAATCGGGTCAAACATACAGAAAAATAATTTTTTCACTCCAAAAATGGGGTAAAACCGGAACTTGCTTCAATTTTTGCATGATTTTCGCAACAATTATGATTTCAACTATGTTGATCTTTTTCCTTTCGTCAAGATCTTTCATTTGAGCCCTCAATCACCCTTGTAGCATTATTAGCATAGAAGTTATGCTTATTTTTATATCTCTCAGTTTTTCCCCAATATATCACTATTTCATGAATTTCATCATCTACATAATTTTTCAATAAAAAATTTATTAATGACAATAAAAACGAAGCTTTGAAAAATCAAGAAATCATTTAATCTAAACGTTAATGTTTCGTTTGGATAAAAAAAGCGAACTTTACTTTATTAAAGGTATTCATAGACAAAAAATCATTACTATGTGGGTTTTCAGTCATAAAAATAGATCACTTGTCTGCAAGTTATGTGTTAAAGACTTTTTATAATAAACAGTTAAAATTTTAATTTTAATTTATCTGCTCCAAATTGAGATGTCCTCAATCACAAATTATAGAAAATAAAACTCTTAATAAAATATTGATAATATTTATAATTAAATTATTCATGTTGTACAGAAAATATTCATGAAAAATCTCTAATTTGAATGCACAAAATAACATCAATAACACAAAATTATTCATTGAAGATTGTTATCCAATGAAAATTAATAATTATAAAATGATGATAAAAACAGTTATTAAACGTGCCAAGTAACGATTAACTAGATCATCTTGAATCAACACTTTCTAATTTTCGCTTTTAGTATTATTATAGGCTTTTACAGTTGAAGAAACATTTTAAACTGAGTAACAAAATATACACACGAATAATTCTTTTTTTTTCCCCTGCAAAAAATGTTTCTACAATTGTTTCGCATCAGCTCACTTATAAATCACAATTCTGATGAAACATTCCACTATCAATACCCAGATTATCAAGCCATAAATCATATTAATGATTCGATAAGTCCTTTTAGTTGAAATAGTAGGCGAGACATCCCAAGAAAAATGATAGAGAAAGTTTAACAATGTTATTTAGCGATCTAAAATGGCTTGACCATAAACTTGGAATTAATATTGTTAAAAAATTTAAATCAGGAGAAATCGGAGCAATCAATCGGCCTCTTTCAAAATGTAAACTATCTAAAAATGCTTTTATCATAGGTCACATGATTGATACTGAAATTCGGTAGATGTAAGTCATGACAGCTAGCATTAAAAATTATTTTTACACTTTTTAGAGGTAGACTATCTCCCTGGAGGCACTCTTGCTCTCATTTTCTCTTCATATACACCACATGTAAAATTACTTTTAACTCTAATCGTATAAAATGAACTCATAACTACCTCACTCTCATCCTATTCATCCTAGTTTATAAAATAAACTTTTATCAAAAAAATTTTTTTTTCATTACGAGAAATGTTTGAAGGCCTTAGTCTCGGTATTGCTGTGATAACGCAATCCGAAGTGGAGCACAACAAACTTTACTCTACCTCCGTGTTGAAACGACATTTCTTCTAAAGAACAGAAATGTCATTGTGTAAACGGAGGAGGAGAAGGATATTTACCACATTACTGAATACTGCACCATGTTGCAATAAAATTTAATCATGAAAAAATGCACATGATGTGAAATAGAAATTCTCATCATCACTTACACACACACCTCCGCCCAATGCGTAGGTAGTAAGATTCGAACCTGGTGCCTCTGGTGTTAAAAGCAAGCATTTTACCACTGAGCTGTCGTGCCTTAGCTTAGGTGAAATGCTTATACATAGTAAAGTTATGTGAGAATGG